GCCCCTGCTGAAGAAACAATTCAACTGAATCCCTGTGACTACAAGGGGCACACACACACACGCCTCCCCGAGGGGAGGCGTATCGCAAGTGCGGACAAAGTAGTAGCAAGGCCAGGAACCTCTAGTCCTAGCACCTATAGTAGGAAGGCAAGGAGCCCCTAGTAGCAACCCAAGCTAAGGTCCCGACAGGAGGGAGGGGTAAGAGAAGAAAGGAAGGTGTTCCCAGCTACGACGCATGCGTCCAAGGACACACCAAAGGAAGAGCGGAGAAGGGTTCCCAGCTATGACAAAAGCATCCAGGGACACCCAAGGAGGAAGGAAGGTGGAGAGGAAAGAGAGAAAGAAAGAAAGAGAGAGGGAGAGAAAGGGAGAGGAGAGAAAAGGAAAAGGAATCGTCCAGGGACACACCAAAGAAAGAAAGGGGTGATCCTGAGTCTCCCATTCAGGAAAACCCCAAAAAGCAAGGAAAGAAAGGGGAGGGAAGGGGAAGGAGGGGGGACTAAGCTCGCGACAGGTTCCAATGAACCTTGAACAAACTTCGGTCGCTGCGACCACGTACGGCATGCCCGAGGGCGGCCACCTCTGACCGCTGCGGTCTCGTAAAGGCATGAGCCAACTTGGAATTCCAAAGATGAGACAAACATCCCACTTCTTGTGGCGTAAGCCATCTGCTGTCCGCTCCGGACACTTACATCTCCGGGCAGGGGAGATAACGACAAACCCCCGTTCGACGGGTCCACGGGAGGCACTCTACGGGCTCATCCCAGGTTGGCACGAGGCCAAACACACTTATGGAAATGCGTACTGACTTGACAGCGGTGCCACACGCCGGCCTAGGTTACCATTTCCTAAGGGTACAGGTAGACCAAGCCAATAGCATCGACGATCACGCGACAGGTTGACGACGTGCGTGCAGGACTGTGACTCATCTCCAAGTTCAAAGTGTAAAGCGTAAAGCTCAACGTTCATGAACTCCAAAGTCAAGTTCATAGCTCAAAGTTGCAAAACGGCGGTAAGTTCATTAGCTCTTTACTGCAAACCGAAGCCAGGAGAAGGGTCTTGTTCTAGTTACAAGCAGGGGCCTGTAGATTGGAGTAATCATCACCGCAGGTACAGGAAACTGGCCAAGTTTCCCTTCCCACTCTCGCCCACAGCTTCGTTGCGTGTGGTAGGACGAGAGTGCCACACGCCCCTGCTGAAGAAACAATTCAACTGAATCCCTGTGACTACAAGGGCGCACGCGCGCACACACACCCCTGACACATATTCATATCGCCACATATACACAAACATAAGTGGGCCGAATTGGGCCAGTGCCGGAGCGCGGAAGGTGCTTTAGTGCTTCAATAATCGTGTCTGAAAGGAACTTGGCATGTTTGCTACAGGGTGGGTGGGTGGGTGGGTCAAAAAACAATCCATTCCATAAGTATCCATGAGTAGTGTGCTCTCATGTACTCCGTGATAGGTTTCATCGGAGCACAGCTTACAACTTGGATGCTCCTTCAAAGGACTCCTTCGACGCCTTCGAACAACTTAGTACGATGCTTCGTTCCAGGCGCTGCTGGTTCGTTAAACCTTGAAGGACTTCAGCTGCCAAACCTTAGCGCTCTGTACTCTTCTGTAGTCTCTGAACTGCTGTGTTTCACAGTGAGCCCCTTCCGCAAGGCTATGCAAGGCTTCCACTCATGTCCCTCCCACGTCTCTGTTTGAGCGCTTCAATCAGCTCCTGCAACGACTCCAACATGCCAAGAGATTGCTCAAAGATGAATCGAAGCAGCAATCCTGAGGTACGTCTAGGCCCGTTCTGCGCATGACCTGTTGGAAAGGGCTTACTTGGCAGTGCGCCATGGACAGGAACAACAAATTCTGGTATGAAAGCAGCTCTCAAAAGCTTACATGACAATCTGTATAAATGAAATCAACATGGCAAACGCAAAAACAACCTGCTGACCTGCTTTGGTGCCGTCATATGAGTCTTACAGTCTTACGTGCATTGACAAACTTTGATGTGCTTTGTGCTCTTCATGTTGGCCTGCGTAATAAAGATCATAGCTCGCCTTAGCAATGCTAGGCAATGCATCCAATTCCGACATAAAAGGGTTTGGCATGGTTTGGCCACATGGTGCTTCTCACATGAGCGTCTGCCAAAACCTACTGTCAAGTAGAGGACATGTGATTCAGCAAGGTTTGGAGGGGGCCTACCGCATTTGCAGGTCTTAGCGCGTTGTCAACATTGCTGAATACATCAAACAACTACGGGGATACTGATACGGTTATCGCTTTTTCTGGCTTTTCGCTCTCTACTGAAGTTACTAAAGTATCGCGCATTTTGGCGGTTGCTGAACACTTTCTTTCTGACTCATTTAAAATTTACAGCACCGTACCGCAATCTGAAGTTCCGCGCCCATCAGGACCTCATCAAACTGGCGAGCTGTTTGGTGTCAAGCCCTTGTGAACAGCGTGCAATTGCGTACTGATGCAAAAGCGATGGCCTCGAGCCTACTAGCGATGGCCTCCAACCTACTAGCGCCACTCTAGTAGCGATGGCCTCCAAGTGATGGCCTTCAACCTACCAGCGATGGACTCCACCCTACTAGCCATGGCCTCCAACCTAATAGCGATGGCCTCCAACCTACTAGCGATGGCCTCCAACCTACTATCAAGCGACGATGGCAAATAGGCTGCTGGCGATGGCATCCAACCCAATAGCGACGGCCTCCGACCTACTAGCGATGGCCTCCAACCTACTAGCGATGGCCTGCACCCTACTAGCGATATCAAGCGATGATGGCAAATAGGCTGCTAGCGTGGCATCCAACCCACTATAGCGATGACCTCCGACCTACTAGCGATGGCCTGCAACCTACTAGCGATGGCCTCCACCCTACTAGTGACGGCCTCCAACCCAATATGCGATGGCCTCCAACCCTACTAGCGATGGCCTCCTTGGCCTCCAACCTGCCAGCGATGGCCTGCAACCTAATAGCGATGGTAGCCTCCAACCTACTAGCGATGGCCACCTACTCGCGATGGCCTGCAACCTAATTTCGATGGCCTCCACCCTACTAGCGATGGCCTCCAACATCCTCCAACCTACTAGTATAATGCCCTCCACCCTACTAGCGATGGCCTCCACCCTACTAGATACTACTATAGCGATGGCCTCCACCCTACTAGCGATGGCCTGCAGCATCCTCGAACCTACTAGCAATGCCCTCCACCCTACTAGCGATGGCTTCCAACCTACTAGCGATGATGGCTTCCAACCGACTAGCGATGGCCTCCACCCTACTAGCGATGGCCTCCAACCTACTAGCGATGGCCTACAGCCTAATAGCGATGGCCTCCAACCTACTAGCGATGGCCTCCACCCTACTAGCAATGGCCTCCACCCTACTAGCGACGGCCTCCAACATCCTCCAACCTACTAGCGATGGCCTCCACCCTACTAGCGAGGGCTTCCAACCTACTAGCGATGGCTTCCAACCTAGTAGCGATGGCCTCCACCCCACTAGCGATGGCCTCCAACCCTACTAGCGATGGCCTCCAACCTACTAGCGATGGCCTCCAACCTGCCAGCGATGGCCTGCAACCTAATAGCGATGGCCTCCACCCTACTAGCGA